TCCTTCCAGATGATTCCTCCAAAATTGTTGCATTAGAGCTGAAGGCTATACTTACAATGCCTGTTTACTCATAAGACGTACGCAGAGGAATAGAATTAATTACTGCCTCAACAACACTTGCAAATAATATTCTCAGAAGAAGGTTTCAATGACATGTGCAAAAATTATCTCTGAATTACAACACCAGCTAAACAACAGCATACCTAATACATAAGCATCAAGTACGCCATTCCTGAATTTCCCTCTGCTTTCTCCCAGGGAAAATAAGCTTAACAATATTCTCTAGAAAATCCTCAGCTGAAATGGAACCTATGCCTACCAGCATCACCCCCACACTGTGCTGTTATAAATTTGAGTATATGAGCTCCCCAAAGGCAGGAGCTTCATTTCAAGTTATTGGTTTATCATTTTTGTATTTCCTGTGCTCTGCCCAGTGTTTGACCTAGAATACTTAAAATCTGCTGCTCAATAAATAAATATGAAAGCTGGAAAGTACATGTACAAATAAATGAATTCATTTATTTAAGCCAAGTCAGTATCTTTCAAAAGTAGTAATAGTTCCAAGTTGTTCAGATATAAGAAGGATTGGAGAACCTAACGGGAAGTCAAGTCAATGTAGTGTCAGATATGACCAAAATGTGTGTCATTTATGAATTGGCAACTGATAGGAACTATTTAAAAAAATCAATGTTTTCTCCAAGTACCTCTTGTCTTGAAAATATTTATAAGGGATTATAAAGTTACAAAATGTTTATCTTCTAATTCAGTTCTTGATTAGAAATTTTTAAAAAATGGGCAGGATAAAGAAGACACACAGTGATGGTGACAGCTGCACAAGACCAATGTAAACATAATCAGACAATAAGCAGCAGAGAACTGGGGAAATGGGCAGCAGGCCCCAACCTTAGCTGACCACTGCTGGGTGAGGGAGGGTTGTTCTTCTTTAAGGGAATGATGTTAGATAGCTGAACAGCCTCCAGTGGATGAACTCACAAGGAATATCTAAGGACATAAATGTGACTTGATAGGCCTTAACAAATATGACAGAATGCATGAAATCCTGTGGAAAGGCTATGGGAGGTTCAGATAGGGTAGAGGGTTTAAATGTGATCAAAATGTATGAAACACACAAAAATTTTTAAAAAATACATTGAAAATATAAAAAGTACACACACGCGCGCGCGCACACATACACACACACACACACACACACACACACACACACACACACGCACAATCTTTGTCCTCTCTACTGAGGCACCACACTACAGTAAGGAAGACCTGAAATTGTCAGGCTAAAATCTGAGGGTTTTGTCTGTGCCTGGTGATATCTACGCACACTTGGTACAGAAGATAAAGAGATTAAAGAATTTCAAATCAGTGTTCCACCTCAATGTCTTCTCAGAACCTACATTAGCTCTGCTAGCAACATCTTTTTTCCATGTTTCTGAAGATACTGAGTTGTTTAGCCTAGGTGCCCTTTGACGTACCCTATGCCAGCTTAATCTTTACCTTCTTTATCTTCTGCTTGTGTATATACTAAAAACTGGTCTATTTTCTATGCCTGTTTATCTGAAATAAGGACCATTTTTATTCAGCCCTGTTACTTGCTCCTTGTATCCCCTTTCAGGTTTTCCCTTTATATACACTTAGAAATGTACCCCAAAACTGGGGGGGGGTATAAAAAACTGACATTTTGGGGAAGGTTAGTTCTTTTGTTAAAAAGAATATTCCTTTCCTAAATACTGGGGTTATTTGGATAATAGCTGCACCTTTGTGAATCTAGAAGACAGAAGCAGCTGCCAGGGGTTACCCTTTCCCAAACAGGCACCTAACTCTGCCTGCAATTTCTCTTTGAGACTAAATAACTAATTAGCGGTCCACAAAACCTGACCTCTTGCAATTTGATCTGAATAGAATGCTTTGAAGTGTTGCCCTGTCTGCACTTCCCGGAATAAAATAAAAAGTATCAGGTCAGTCATCTAAAGAAGACCTGAGTTGGTTGGGTAAGTTTCTCAAAGCTAAAGGTACACCTACTTGCAAATTCTGAGTTGCCTGACAGACAAATGAAGATATATAATATTTTTAAATGAAACACAGCTTGCCCTATAAACGTGACATATTAAATGTCAATACCTGAAAAGGGGATATATCTATGTATGTCAATGTTAATAATAGTCTTAAATAATATGTTAAGATTAACTTTCTGTTTACTACTCCACTATATATAACCTTTCTCAAATAGCTCTTGAAAATTTTCCTCAAATGTATTAGTTCAGTTTCTTGTCTATATGAGGAAAGTAAAAAACTATAATTCATTTAATTAAATGAGTTTTTTAATTAAGGCAAATATAATGAAAGGTAATTTCCACTGCAGAAATGATTAGTGGAGACCTGTATTTGATAGTTAATCACTATTGTAATTATCTTTTAAAAATAATTTTTGTTTTTAACACTGACTTGGTTTCTTTTCCTGTTGCTTCGAGAAACTGTTGTGACAAGGGCCACTTAAGAGAGAATTTATTTTAGCTCACATCATGGCTGGGAAGTCAAGACAGCAGGAGTTAGAGACAGCTGGTCAAACTGCATTCAAAATCCACAACACAGAAGGATGAATGCTGGCTTGCTCAGCTCCCATTGCCCACTTAAATACTCCAGTATCCAGTCTATGGAATGGTGCCTCTCACAGTGGGCAGGTTTTCCCACATCAATTAAAGCAATTAAGATAATCTCCCAGACTCATTCCCTGAAGCCCAGGTCATTCTAGAGCCTGTCAAGTTGAGAAGTGACACTAGCCATTATAGACACACCCACATGTGCTCAGTGGAAAGGAATAAATCCTAAGGACTTTCCATTTTCATTCTCTAACGTCTCAATTCTATTCTTAATTCACTGACTCATTTGATTAGCAAATACAAATGAGCGTGTAGCATAATTGAGGCAAAACACCAGGCATGAAGTTTAAAGTGAGAAAAGCAAAGAGGCTGATGATGGAAGAGAAGAGGGAAATGTTCCATATAATTAAGTTGTGATGAGCCAGTGTACAGCACAGGCAGACTGACTGAACCTAGACTGAGCCTCAGAGAAACATTATTGAAAGAAATAATAATATGGCCATGGTGACTATGAGGCCAGCCTGGGCTATCTCATGAGCTCCAGATGAGCCTGGACTGCAAAGTGGTATTCTTTCACTCAAAAACAAGCAAGAAAACAAACAAAACCAACTGAACAAAATCCTGAATGGTGAACACAATGAAAAATGGTAATTCAGGCAGGAAATGAGTGGCCAGCTCAAGACCAGGGAAGGAACAGCAGGACTGAAGGTATAGGGAGCCCTTACTCAGGCCCAGGAGACGGCCAGCAGGTGAGTGCAATCCAGTAACATATGGTGAGCCAAGAGCGAGCAGGGTCAGGTCACACAGGGAATTTCAACCCACATGTGGTATGATAATCGCTGTGGTGAGAAGCTGGGAAACCACCAAAAAGCTGTACTGGCAGGAGCTATTTGGTTAGTATCTGAAACCTAACATTATAACGTAAAGAGCATGAGGCAGGAAATGGATTGCACAAGAACGCAGAAGCAGTTTGACAGAGAGTGCATTTGAGATGAGAAACTGATGACTCGGGAGTAGACAGAGGTGTGTTATGAAAACATGAATTGGCTCATCAGGTACAGGAGAATAAAGGTGAGAGATGACACAAAGATAAAACCTTGGCATCTGATTTGATGACTCGGTGAATGATTGGGTCATTTTTACCATGGAGAACAGTGGACTTAATAAGCAGATTGTCAGCCTACTACAATTAACTGAAGAACTACACTAACCCATTTTACAATGAAACTGTAACCAAATATGAAAGAGCTTACAAAAAAAAAGTCACTAGAGACAGCTTAACTGCATGTTTTTATGAAGTCATAGAGAGGTTTCAGCTGATAAATTCTCAGGGTATTTCAAGGGTTGCAAAATTTAAAAGTTGAAAAAATATTCTACACAGCCTCTTTTGGGTACAGCAGATATTAATAACAATTTCACAGAAACAGACAAATTAAAAACCTCCCTCTCGTAGACAACCTATCCTGACTTCTAATGCTACAGGATAGTTACTCCTTTAAACTTTACATAAATAATATCACAATAAAATTAAAATAGCCAATGGAAATATTAACTAGGTAGAATGGTAAAGGTGCAAGTCATTGGGAATAAGTGATCAGCTAAGCCAGGGAAGGTATGAAATAACCTACAATGAGAAAATAAGTCAGGAGAAAATAAACTATGAAAAGAATGAGGTAGAAAAATAACTAATAGACAAAGGAATGTTCAAGAAACAGCAGAAAGGAGAAATTCAGAGTGTGTGGTATATTGGTGTTGAGTCAAAGTTACAGCAAAACATGACAGTGTGTATGAAGAGTGAGGATCAAACACTGCAAAGAAATTTGAAAAGAGAAAAAAATCTCTTGAATTTAATGGCATGGAGCTCATTTATGAACCTAATGGAAGTAGTTTTAGAGAAGCAGACCAAAGAATCTGAAATTACATATATTTAAGGCGTTTTAGAGTGGAAAGGCTCTCGCCAACAATTTTAAGATGATTGGTAATAGAGGGGAGAAAAGAATTAAGGCTATGCATAAGGACCGTGCAGCAGCTAATCAAGAAAAGGCTGTTTAGCTAATACTAGGCATTAACAAGCTAGTGTGTGCATAGACAATTAAATTACTGGAGAAATACTTAATTCAGCAAGAAAAAAAGTTGAGGGTGAAGATGAGCTTTGGGTCGAATAAGGAAGCCTGTCGTAACTGAAGTGGACTTAGTTTTCTATCACAAAAATTTCCCACTTCAAAGTCAGTGTTCTTCCATTTCTATCCTGTTAGAGTTTTATAGTACTCAAGAAAGTCTTTCACTTGCCAAATAAACTCAAAGTATTTGTACTTATTCATATTTCTTTCTTTCAAGTGCCTTTATTGCTAAAGACATTTTATTCCCTTTGATGTTTTCTTCTAGGAAAATTTTATCCTCTTTCACTTTTTCATCAAAGAGGTATTTGGAGCTGAGTCATTCCTCCCAGTGACTCAAAATTAAGAATGGCATATAGTCGTCGAGCAGACCCAAATCCCAGTGACCCACAACAAGGTCAACATGATCCTGAAGGATTTCACCCTGCAAATCAACGCCTTCCTTCCGGCCAAGTCAGACTGGGTTTTGATCAGCTCATGGAAGAGATTAGCAGTAAAATTCCACTCTATCACAGTGAAATACAAGAAAACACCTTTGTGCCAGATACACCAGGCTTGGACTCAAAATGGTATTCATTAGATGGAATGAGCCAAAGACACCAGAAAGAATTCACTTCTAAGAGCTCTAACCTCTCCCAGCATCAGTCTGAGAAGATGACAGTTATTGGTTTTAGTCCTGCTGTATTATCTCTGCATCAAATCCCGGATGAGGAAAGCCCCTGGGAAAACCCCACAGGACAATGTCGCAGGGCTCGGGAGTCCAGATTCAAGGCTTCAGCTCCATCATCCACTAGCTTGGAGAAAAGGAGTCTACAAAGAGAGTGGGGAGATGAGCATTACTCCTGCCACATAGGATTTGAAGGCAACCTTCCTTCCCGGTACCCGTCCTTCCCAACCAACTGCGCACCCAACAAAGAGAAAAGAGGTGAAAATGTGCACAGCTCAGAACCTTCTCTAATGTTCTTTAAAGACTCTCTTCTTCCCAGGACACGGGAAAGCACATCTCTGGAAAATAGAGAGGTATGTGCAATGTGGGTGAACCTGGAAATATGAAACTGAGATAATCACTCAATGATGCATTGTATTAACTAGTAACAAAATTCAATAATCTTACACAGGGAAACCTACTAGTGTTATTTAGAAAAATTCATCTATTGTCACAAATTCCATATCCTTGACTGACCACTCTTTCTGGGGAAAAAAAAGAAATGAAGTTTTTCTGGTTTTGTTTTAATTTTTTAATTGAAATTTTTTGAATTTTCATACAATATAATTTGATGGTATTTAGAGCCCTCCCCTATTCGTACCTCCCCTACTGACCCACTCCCAATCTAATGTACTCTCTTATATATGTAATATGGCCCGTAGAATCTGATTTGTGTCCCCAAATCTTCTTCAGTGTGGTCCATCCACTGGGTCTACCAAGAGTCTCATTCCTGTAAGACACTGTCTCTCCCCTTTCCAGCAGCCATCAATTGCCAAAGGTTCCTTAGTTTGGATTGGGATTTCTTATTCACTTCCCCATGTCTATGCTGGGATTTTTGTCCGATTTGAGCTTGCACAAGGCTTGTGCTTGCTGTCACCATTGTTAGAGTTCATGTGAGTAACGGAGCAGCTGTGTGAAGACACTGTTTCTCTGCAAACACCCACCCCCTCTGGCTCTTACGATCTTAGAGCCAGAGGAAATGAAGTTGTTAAATTATCAGTTTTCAAGTTCCCATTTCACCAAAGCTAAATATATCATACAAACTAATAATTACATTTTAAAGATAAAAATACATCTGGAGGTTTAATTATGGCGTGTCCTCATTCTTGCCGCTTTATGAAAATACACATACCCATTGAATTCATATTCTGAGTCACACTATTATGGTTTAAAACTGTATTATCAGTATTGGTAGGAAAAATGTTCTTTTATCAAGAAGTTCCTAAATTATATTATTGTCAGCCAAGTTCCCCTAGATTCAGTCCAAGAGTAAGAATTTAGTCACTGTGTGACTGATTCTAATCCTTCCTTTAGTGATTTTTACAACCATTGCAGTAACCAAAGAGTTTCCTGTATCCTGTTTGAAGATTTTTCTGCTTATCCTGTGTCTAGACACAAATGAAGCCAGAAGTAGATAGCAACAAAGAGGTAGGGGCAGAGATGGCTCAGCTAGTAAAGTGCTTGCCAAGAAACCATTAGGACCTGAATTTGGAGCCCCAGAACACTGGATAAAAAGCCAGGGGTGGTGGCACATGTCTGTAATGCCTCACAACACTGGGGAGGCAGAAACAGGTGGATCCCTGGAGCTCATAGGCCAGGAGTCAGGTCTAGTCAAGTTGCTCAGCTCCAGCTTTAGTGACTGACAACATCTCAGTTAAACAAGGTTGAAAAGCTGTTGTAGATGATACCCAGTGTTGTCTCTGACCTACACACACACACACGCACACACACACACACGCACACACACACATGCACACACATACACGCACACACACACACGCACACACACACACGCACACACACACACGCACACACACACACGCACACACACACACGCACACACACACACGCACACACACACACGCACACACACACACACGCACACACACACATGCACACACATACAGGAACACACAAATACATACACACAAATACATATGAGAGAAAGAGGAAATGCCATTACAATTACAACTTACCGGAGGATCCAAAATGATTATTTATCAAAAAAAACTATGTATCAAATCCTTATATTATGTTGTGATATGCTGCACAGAATGGATAGGAAGAAGAAAATCACTCAAATTAACTTACAAAGAAGCAACACCATAGCACAATAGGCAGAAGGAGAGGGTACGGGAGGAAACGCCTAGTTCTACTGAAGCACTCCCCAAAGAGGCAGCACCTCAGGTTATCGAAATCAAAGCTGAATAAATGTGCTGGAGAGAAGGCTCAGTGGTTGAGAGCATTGGCTGCTCTTTCAAAGGACCCATATTTGGTTCCCAGCAATCACAAGGCAGCTAACTACTGTCTATAACTCCAGTTCCATAGGATCCAACACCCTCTCTGAACTCCATGGGCATTACATGATATGGGAGCAATTACATGCAGGCTAAACACTCATACACATAAATAAAAAAATAAATTTTAAAGTAAAAAAAATCATAAAAACATCTAGTTCACATCACGACAGCATAACGACGGTTAAATTGTGCCCCCCTGTTGTAGATGAAATAAACAAAGCAGCTGAATCCGAGCATTGGGCAACAGGCAGTGCAGGATATAGGTCCCTGAGAACAGTCAACATTCTTACTCATGTCTGGAGGACAGATTCCTGCTGCTGTGCAGTCTGGTGGAGCCGGGTTTGACAGCAGCATCCCTGAGCTGGAGAGGAGAGCTGGCAGTTGACTGCAGGCTGCAGAAACAGCTGAGATTTGCTGGGGTGGAGTGCTGTTAAAGAGGAAGCTATGCAGTGAGTGGGTTCAGAATTCTAAGGGCATTTGCTCCGTCTTTGCCAAGTATTGGGATGCATCTGCAAGGCTTGGGAGAAACCGTGGATTTTGAACCAAGACCTGAGTGGTGAATCTTCTCGCTACATAAAATAGAAGCTATGCAACACAGAAGTGGTGGCCAAACCCGGGAAGAGACTGAGTTGAGGATTTTAGACATTCAAGTGAGACCCCCTAAAGCCATCTCCTAAGTCCAAAAAGTATGCTGAAGTAAATGCTATGCTAAGCAAAATAGATGTGCCTCAACAAAAAATAAAAACAAGAGTGATGGGACCCGAAGTACTTTGAGTATCTGCCAGTGAAGAGCCAGTTTGGTTTTTGAAAATATTTTATTTATTTATTTTCATTTTATGTGTACGAGTGCCTTGCCTACATGTATGTAAGTGTACCCATGTTGCACGGTGCCCAAGGAGGTCAGAAGAGAGTGTTGGATCCCCTGGAACTAGAGTTACAGAAGGTTGTTAACCATCATGTGGATGCTGGGTATTAAACCCCTGTCCTGTGCAAGAGCACTCAGTGAGCTTAACCACTGGGCCATCTCTCCAGCCCCAGAATCAGTTTGTTTTAGAAAATCCCTAACTCAGTGTGCTATTCACAATATCCAATGCATAATAACAAATGTCTAACAATGTATAGTAACAGAAAATTATAACTCAAAATCAAAAAGTAACTGTCAGTGGAAAGCAAAGATAAGCTAGATGTCGGAATTAACAATAAGGACTTCAAAGTGCTTCACAGAGGTATGTTTAAATAAATATAGTAAAGGATAGTCACAATCAATGGGGCAGACAGGATCTCAGCAAGAATTTAGAAAATATGAAAAAAAAAAATGAACAAAAATGACCATTCTCATACTGCAAAGATCAGCTGTGATGAAAGAAGTAGGGCTGTGCTTAACGACAGGGAAAATGGCAAAGTAAATGTGAAGCTAAAGAAATCACCCACACTGAAGAGAAAAGAAAATGATCCACGTGTGGTGGAATGCACAGGTAATCCCAGCACTGAGGGGGCCACGGCGGGAGGTCTTAGGTTCAAATCCAGCCTGGGATGTAAGGCAAGACTCCGTCCCAAAGAAAATGAAATGAAAATCAAGAACAAAACTTAGAGACTCAAGAAACAAAAAACAGAATCTATAGTAACTAAAATGTTAGCAGGGGAGAGAAAAGAAGAGAGGAAAGTTCATTTGAAGAAATAATGGACAGAGTTTATCAGTTGAAAATATCATAGTATAGGAGTTGGAGGGATGGTTCAGTGGTTAAGAGCACTAGATGCTTTTGCAGAAGACCTGGGTTCAGTTCCCAGCACCCACATGGCAGCTAACAACCATGTGTAACTTCAGTTCCAGGGGATCCTACGCCCTCTTCTGACATCCATGTGCACTGCATGACATAGATACACTTATACACACATACACACACACACACACACACACACAGGCCATATACTCATACACATAAAAATAAAAATAATAAAATACTTTTTAAAAGAGAAAATATCAAATTATAGAACTGAAGAAAACAAATTCCAGATAAATGCAAAATCATTCCTATAGAGACAAATTTATAATCAAGTATCTAAAATTGAAAGGAAAGAAAACAAAAACTCTTAAAATGAGGCAGAGAGTGAAACTGCACTAACCATATGATTGAAGAATGAGCAAACTTCTCATCAGGACAAGAAAAGCCAGAGAGTGGAGTGATGGTTTTAAGTTCATAAAAATAAAAGGGAAACAGAACCCACAGATCTATATCTATTGAGTACGCTTCAAAGCTGAAAAATGAAATAAAGTTATTACCATGCAAATAAATATTGTACACAATTATCAATTATCATTCCCACAAAACATAACAAAGTCAATGTTTGGCATGAGAGAGGGAGAAATGGCATTTGGTTAAAAATCCTTACATTTTAAGGCCTGGAGAGATGGCTCAGTGGTTAGGAATACTGACTGTTCTTGCAGAAAACCTGGGTTCGAATCCCAGCACCCACATGACAGCTAACAACTGTCTGTAACTGCAGTTCCAGGGGATATGATAGCCTCTTCTGTCCTCCGTGGGCATTTTACGACACGGGTGTGCTTACCTACATGCAGGCATAACACTCACATACATAAAATAAAAATAATAAAATATTTTTTTTAATTCTTACATTTTAAATGTAAAGGTAGAACATTATCCCTAAATAATCTGAGATACGGTAAGGATGTACACCAGAATCCCTAGAGCTAAAACAATATAAAGAAAATCTAATAAAATAACAGAGGAATTAAATGCAATAGGAAAAAATAAAATAAACCAAATAACAAGGAAATTCAGAAAAATAAAGTTATAAGCATAAGTGGAAATAAATAGAAATATGATGACCTAAAACCCAATGACTTTCATAAATATGTTAAACATTAATGCAGTAAGCTTTCAAAATAATGGACAAAACATGACAAACTGAGTTAGAAAATAAAGGCTCAGTTACTGTCTGTAGAAGGTTAACTTAAGAAACAAAATAACAGATAGATTGAAAATAAATGAAACAAGGATTTAATACTCAACCTGAAACAGAAGATTGGTGTGGTTTTTAAGATCAGGAAAAGTGAAATTTGAGACAGTATTGTTAGAAAAATCTGTCCTGGATGGCTTCAATGTTAACTTGACACACTGAAGGAGGAGGGAGGAATTGCCTCTGTCAGCTGGTTTGTGGACATGTCTATGAGGCATTCTCATGACTGTTGACTGACATGGGAGGGCCCAGCCCACTGTAGATGGTGCCATGACTGGCCAAGTGGTCCTGGTTTATATAAGAAAGCAGGTTGAGCATGGGCCAAGAAACCAGCCCAGTAAGCAGCGTTCCTTCAAGGTCTGTGCTTGCCTCCAAGTTCTAGTGCCTCAGAGATCGACTGTCACTTGGAAGAGTAAGATGCAATAAACCTTTTCACCTCCGAGTTGATTTTCATCAGTGTTTTATCACAACAGTAGAAAACAAACTAGAGCAAGAACAATTAATTTTGTAACAAAGAGTCCTGGTGTTGCACTCGGGAGGCAGAGGCAGCCAGATCTCTGTGAGATCAAAGCCAGTCTGGTCTACGTAGTGAATTCCAGGCCAGCTGGAGCTACAGGAAGACAATGTTTCAAAAAGATCAAAAAACTGTCAATCTGAAAGTGATAATAAATTTAAATTTGCACACACCTGATAAAAAAGCCTTAAACTACATAGACAAACGTGATTTAAAGCCAATCGCATATGTACCCTATAAACGGCACATTTTATGCATGCATTCCCAAGAAATGAGGCATATATCCAAAAGGTGTTTATACAAGAAAGCTGAAATATATCCCCTAAGCTATAAACACTCTAAGTGTCCATCAAGAGGAAAATGACTATACAAAGAATGGGATAGTTATGCAATAGAATGCTAACAATCAGCACTTTATAATGACAGACTGGTGATATGTGTGACCACATAAAGACTTTTTAAAAAGACATATCACTTAATGAAGGAAGTTAAAAACCAAAGGGCATGCATAATTCATCTATGACAATAGAAATCCAAGTAACAGTAGTTATCAATAAATGTTTGGATTAACTAAACAGAAGTATGAGGGAACTTCTAGAGTGACAGCCCTGTTCTTTATCTTCCTTGGGTTATAGTAGTGTGTATTCTCAAAACTCAAATCATATAGGTAAGATCTATGCATTTCCTATATGTAAATATTGCTTCAATTAAAAAATCTACGAAAGTAAAAGTAATTGCAAACAGGGTTTTAAAACAGGATAAAATTACAGAGATGAGTTATTTTTCTCTGTATTGAACTGTACCTATATTAATTTTCTAATTTTTATTTTCAGCCAGTTGATTGTCACATTCAAATAGTTGAAGTCCCCCAAGGAAGCAATATGAACCTGGCCTCATTTTGTGACAAAGTAAAAAAGTAAGTATTGCTACTTTAATCAATTTTGAAGTTTCTGTGTGTGGATACATTTGTCTATTTTCCTGTTGCTTGTAAATGCAGTAAAACAAACGTGGAAATTTTTGACAAAGTATTTCATTGATCAACGGTGTTTACTCACTTTTGTTCTTTATAGTAAGGTGATACTTTCCCTTAAGAAATCTGATTAAAAATTAAAGATAATTTTGCAGTTTCAAACTGCCCTTGTTGCTCCTTGGTAGTCTGGTTTACAGGGAATTTTATCTCATTTAATGTCATAAGCATTTGAGTTTTCTGGCTCAGACCCAAGTTAACACAAGTTCCCCTTCCTTCCTGGGGGCATTGTAGCGAGAGTCATACGAGCACATTAATACCCAAATCTTATCTCGAGTAAGTTACAACAGAATTAAATAAATAATATACGTTTGTTCACTGAAAACCATATTTGATTTCCAGAGGATGTTTCAAACATCATTGGTCTCCTTGATAATCTAAAAGAAAATATTATGATATAAAAGAAAGTGGCTTTTTCATTGACCAATTTCTTTATATCTTCAATATATATTTTTTAATTTGTGCATTTCATATAATGCATCTTAACCATATTTAGGCCCCCTCCCATATCCCGCCCATAACCTGCCCATCAGATTTCATGCATTCTGTCATACATGTTAAGGCATATCAGCTCAATTTTGTGTCCCAAATGGCCCTCTGTCCTCAATGTACGTTCGTCCATACTGGAGTCTAGTTAGCCTATCTAGTGTCATTCTCTAAAGACTAACTTCTCTTCACCCAGCAGTGACCAGATGCCAATAGTTCCTCGCTTAAGGTTGGAGCTTCTTATCTGTTTCCCCAGTTCTATATTAGGTTTTGGTCTGGTTTGTGTTTGCATGGTCTTATGCATGCTGTCATCACTGCTGTAAATTCATACGATTAAGTTCCTAGAAGCCTGCAAAACCTTTTTCCTGCGGTTGTCCACTTCTCCTGACTTTTACAGTCTTCCTGTCCCACTTTTCTGCAATGGTCCCTGAGCCTGAATGGTTGAAGATGACCACCATTTTTAAAAATTTATTTCTACTCATTGTGTATGAGTGTTTTGCTTGCATGTATGCAAATGCAACATGTGTGCAATATCAGCAGAGGCAAGAAGAAGGCACAGGATCCCCTGCAATTGGAATTATGGGCCGTTGTTAGCCACCGTGTGAGCGCTGGGAGCTGACCCTCAGTCCTCTGCAAGAGCAACCACTGTTCTTAACCACTGAGCATCTCTCCCATCTTAATGATGTAAAATGTTGGTCCTCACTGTAATGCCACTGCACAGAGTTGACACACTTCTCTACTCGCCCCAATGTATAATTTTGTGTTTTAGGTCAGATCAAGTAGGTGAAGCAGTGACATGAATGCATTTTAAGTGATTTTCGTCAGTGGCTTACGGTGTATGTCCCAAATTATTTAATATACTTCTTAGTGATTTTCTTTAAAACAATCATGAGAACTAAAGACAACCAACCAAACACTAAAGTTGGCTAAGTGGAAAAAAGTCATAAATTGCATTCATATATATTTTTCATAAATTCTTATCAAAACATACTCATGTAGATGATGCTTAAATGTATATGTGCATAGATATTCTATATATAATAACATTCACTCAGTAATATTTTTAGGATCCATTAAGTACTAGGAACTGAAAAATCAAAAACAAAAAAATCAAATAATACTTCGAAAATCAAGTTCCACAAGACGATCTCCAAAATTTCAGGAAGACCATAAGAAAATAAATTACATAGGCAGTTGCATTTATTTTTCTATTATTTAAATATGTATGAGTTAATATGTTATTGGCATTCCCTTAAGCTCCTATTAAAAAGAGTTTCTAACTTCCTGAATTTAATTGCTTTTTTACCTACTTTAAAATCTCATATTCAAGAAATATGCCACATCATTATAAAAATACAATACAATTCCATAAGATAAAAGTTGCCAAGGTAGTAAACTAATCAATGGTCCTAAACAGGCTATAAAACTCATGAACCACAACAGTGATTGGCCCAGCAGATTATCTCTACTTTTGTAATAGTGACACTTTCAATTTAGGGATCATCAACAACTATCTAATTAGACTTAAGGCCCCCTCAGTGGAAGGGAACTCATTTGTAGTACACACGGTCGGAGAGGACATAGACCAGAGAGAAGAAGCTACTACTACCACTTTCCTAAACCAGTGTAATTTCTTACTATATTCTAAATATATAAACTTCTATTCACAGACAGGTGTGGCTCTCACCCCTCATTAAAGAAGCTTCTTTTTACATGTAGAGATTACTACAAAGTTCTGTAACTGGTCAAACAGCAGAGAATAAGTAACTATGTGGGGCCAAGCCCTAACTGATACATCTACAATGCTACCTCTATACCTAGGGCTTAAGAAACATTGTTGCAGCAGGCATCTTGTTCCTCTGGCTCTTAAAATCCTTCCGTCCTCTCTTCAAGATGTATTCTAGACATGATAGGAAAACAGCACCCTTGAAATCTCCATAATTGGTAGCCAAACAAGATCTACGTAATGGCAAAATCAGTTAACATTCTAATGTGGACAGGGAAATTTCATGGGGTCTCACCTCTAGATGAAGAGCTACAGGAAACCAAAGGATGCCGAGGGAAGGAGAATCTGTGTTCTCCATGGACTTTCTCCCTGAAAGGTTATCTAATCTAAGTAATCAGCCCTAAACATATGTATAAATGAGTATCACTAAATGAAATTAGTGTATTATAGATACATATATATACATATATATTTAGACATGTACATGTGTATATGTGCAGGAATGTCTCATAAAATGGACATAATCTGAACTAATGTCTTTTAATTAATCTCTGTAAACTCAATGAACCTTGTGTCTGGTGACTGGGGCATTTCCTTGGCAACCTCAGTTTGATACTCCACTCCAAAAAATAATGAATGAATGTAGGCATGCTTGAGAATTAACATAGCAAAGCGCTAAAAGATGGCACATTCATCATCATTGCATACATTGAAGATCGGGAAGATGCCTGACCTTGAGTGAAAGAGGTATTCTAGAGCTAGGGATGAAAAGGCTGGGTGGTCTGGTAAGATAAGGGTAGAGCCAAGCTGTACTTTCCCCATGAAGTTGGAGAAATAGGTTTGAATGACAATGTGAGTGAGGCTAGGTTCCCGGAGCACAGTTCCAGAAGATGTATCTTGGGGAACGGATATCCTTCAAGTTTGAGCCTACTCTTAAAAACTAAATTTAATTCTTCCAATCCATAAGCATTGTAGAGGTCTTTAATGTCTTTGGTCAGGTTTATTCCGAGATTATTTTTTTATGCTATTGTGAATGGGAGGGTTTTTACATACTCTTTTTCCAACTGCTTGTTATTGGTATATAGAAAGGCTACTGATTAATTTTATAATGTTCCACTTTACTGAAAGTGTTAATCATTTCTCGGAGTTTTCTGGTGGGAGTTTGGCATCTCTTAGATATAATATAACATCTTCAAAAAGGGATAATTTGATCTCTTCTTTTCCAATTAGTACTCCCTTAATTTCCTTCTCTTGTCATATTGTTCTAGCAAGAATTTCAAGCACTATGTTAAAGAGGAGTGGTGATAGTGGACAGCCTTGTCTGGTCCTGATTTCAATGGGAATGCTTCCAGTTTTTCTCCATTTAGAATGATGTTGGCTGTGGGTTTGTTGTATATAGCTTTAATTATGTTGAGGTATGTTCCCTCCAGTCCAATTCCCTCTAGGACTTTGAACATAAATGCATGTTGAATTTTGTCAGAGGAATTCTCTACATCTATTGAGAAGACCGTGCAGTTTTGCTAGGTGAGGAAGAGCTGATCTTCCTAAATCGAGGGATTCTAGATAGGCTGACTAGACCTCAGTGGATGGACTTGTACTGAGGATACTTGTACTGGGATACTGACTTGACACAGTGGGCATTAACACAGAAGACAGAGTATATGGGTCCCTGTGGGCAGGCTATGGAAGGGTGCTGGTGGGGATGAGGGTATAAAGATGATTCGGATTGTTTGAGATATTCTGTATGAAATGCACAAAAATTCAATAAAAGCAAATTTTCAAAAAGCTAAATTTAAGAGTCAAGCATTTTTGTTCAGGTAATTGTAATGTTGGCATAATAACACTGCATATATGTAACAATAATAATAGAAGAAAAGGACAATTGAGAGGGAGGATTAGGGAGAGAGGAAGGAGCTTCTAGGGAGACTAAGAGGAGGGAGACGGACATAGATACAATACTCATGTATGAAATTCTAAAAAAAATAATAATAATACAAAAAAGAAGTTCCTGGTCCACAGTGGATGTTCTACAAAGGTTAGGAGAGAATCAATCACACATTTACATTTTAATTTTAATTACCTGGATTTGTGCAAGTATTGGACAGGATCTTCTCACATGGTAGGTGCTAAGTCATAAAGCTCCTTCGTCCAGAAGTGGTGACCAGAACGTTGTGGCAGGGCACAACACAGGAGAGGCGGTCACATGCCTTTATCCTTAGCAGTAGCTTTCAGCTGCAGAGTCAGAGCAGGAGCTGCTTGGGGTGGAAGGAAGAGCTCTACAGATACACTGAATCAGAAATGAAGGGACTGGAACCGGAAGACACAGTGGTGGTGGTGTGTGTCAGGCTAAGTACACACAACTTGTCTATTTGTCAGCCTCCTCAGAGAGGGGATGTTTCCATGGAGTCTGAGGAGGGCCCAGTCTGTGCTACTTCAAGGATCTGGCATAGCTTTAGCACTGAACACAAATAGAATACTGTAAGTGCTAAGTTTAATTATTACTTTGCTCATTGCTGGGACCTGGCAAGCTCCGACTTAACGGCAGGAGACGTTTATTTTGGCTCAAGATATAAGGGCATGTAGTGGGGAAGGCACAGCGGCACAGGGATGCATGCTCTGAGGCCATGGGAGCAGGCAGCTGTTACCTCAGCACAACAGGAAGCAGAGAGAGAAACAGGAAGAAGTGAGCTTGGGCTACACAGCTCAAGGCCCACCCAATGACCCACTTCCTCCAGCAAGGCCTCACATCCTCAAGGTCCCCCGACTTCACAAAGAGCAACATAATCTACAGATCAAGCGTCAAACGCATGAGTCTGCAGGTGACAATTTACAGCTAAATCACAACACTCAGGATACAAAAAATATCTTCCTTTTAGGATGAACTTAGATAACATAACCAACACAAAAAATAAGATTATATTTTCATCATTTGAGACATTTATGTTTCTAAATATCTTTATATTATATCTACATGGGGCCATAAGCTATGAGTTTACGGGGATCAGCCATGGAAATATGTAATGATCATTATCACAGCATTTTTCTTTACAATCTATAAATTTTTATACGCTTTTTCTTTTTGAACTCTCATAAGATACCTCTGAAGCAAATAGCATCACCTTTTTTATTCACAAATAATATAATAATATACCTCTGGCTATAACGTCCCAAGTAGAAGCATTAGGATTCAAATTCAAAGTTTCTGCTCCACAGATAAACTATTTCTCTTTTTCTTTTTTTTTTTTTTTTTCGCTCCTACACATAATTGTTCAGCATGCACTTGTGACTCAATTGTTTGTGTAACCTCCATAATTTTAAAGACAATAGAAAAACAGAAAGTGTTTGTGAATTAGATACCAATAAGAGAATTTGTTTACCCAGATCTCTAAATCAAAATGAATGACTTGTGGTTTAAAAAAAAAATTAGAAAGGAGAAGAATATCAGTGCAGGAAGCCAGGCATCAGAGAAGAAGCTTGATGCTTCTGGTCATTACAACGAGAAATATCCCATATAGGCTCATATATTTCAACACCTGGTGACAGTTGGTGGCATTACTGGGGAGGTTATGGAACCTTTAGGATGTCCAGCCTTCCTGAAGGAAGCACGAGGTATTTGAGGGCTATAGCCTTGCCCACTTCCTGTTCTCTTTTGATCTGCTTTCTGCACGTGGTTGCCACTGCCACTTGCTGCCCTTCCTGCCTTGATGGATTCTTATCGCTCTGCAACCATAAGCCAAAATAAATGTGTTCAACTGCATGCTGCTTATCATCATGCTATTTATCATAACAACAGAAAAGTCACTGAAATAACACTATTCAGAATGAAGTTCCCTGTCCTATCACATGACGAAAATATAGCCTTGGGGCTGGATGATGGCTCAGTGGTTAAGAGCACTGGTTGCTCTTGCAGAGGACCTGGGTTCGATTCCCAGTACCCACATGGTGTCTCAAAACCATCCATTGTTCCAGTTCTATGGGATCCAATGTCCTCTTCAGATCTGTGTGGGCATTGCATGACATGGGTGCACTTATACACATGCAGTCTATTTTCGTACACATAAGGTAAAAATAATAAAAATAAAATATTTTAGGCACTCCCAGAACGCCTTGAGACCGCCCTTTGACTTTGTTCTTAGTGTAACTGAAATCCCTGCATTCCTCCTCTAGGAAGTGCACAGGGCCACCAACAAGTGACTGATTATTTCCTCCTTTTCAGCCTCCATTCCATGGATGATATTTTCAAATAAAACAAACCATGAAGCTCTAACCCTAAGCATTTTTCTTTGCATTACTTTTCAGAATAAGAGAAACATACCATGTGGCCAACGCAACTTCCAGTTCCGGAATTATCTGGAGCATCACCACGGCTTTTCCGTTTCAGCTCTTTGCTAACACCAAGTTCAATATAAGGATTTTCACTGATAACTCAGCTCAGTGCCTCCATCTTACACCATATGGTAAGCAACTTTCCAAGCAAATGTACAAATCTCAATGAAGCTGGTGCTGATAGAGTCTTGAAATCATTGAAAGAAACACCATTTGGTATTGTTTTGCTCTCAAGTAAAGCAAGAAGTAAACAGCTGGGAACTTTTGTGAGCATCTGAGATAGAACAGGGAAGCTAATATCAAGAACACTCCTCACATACCCCACCTGCAAAGTCTTAATTTTCTTGCCAGTAACAAATAGTAAGAGAAAGTTTTGCATGCATTTGAAATAAACTGAATTTTTTTTTAATTCTACATAAAGATGATGCATAAGTGAAAATGACTCTTCTTATTCACCAGGAACTACCACTTTGTTCAGTTATGTGAATATATTGTGAAGAAGAATTAATGTAGGTTCAAGAATTTTCTATTCCCACTGTGAAAAGTCTTGGAGCCCTGCATAGCCCACACTGTCATAATTATCAGAACTTTGTCTAAAAAGAATTATAGAAATTTGTATTATATCAAATTTATTGTGTATTTTCTTCTCTATAGTTTTACGATATCTTGAAAGTCACTTAATTTATTTTTGATATATGACCTCTTTAAAAAACTGTTAGTTCTTTTAACAACACTCAGTTGCTACTAAATGAATATTACATAATAATAAGAATTCATTTTCAGAGGCATAATGAGCCAAGAAATGGTTTCCTTTCTTTCACTGGTTAATATTCATTATTAAGCCTTCTTCTTTCTTACTATACTTAAGGCTCTGAGCAATCACAGATGACCCCAAACACAGCAATGATTGATAGATTAGTTGAGACCATCTGCTTTGAAACTCACAGAAGCCAGCTCCTGCTGGGTGAAGCAAAAAGAAATGATTTTTAAAGAATATAAGGATTTCTTACAGAATTTAAGAGTAGGAATTCATCAGAGAATTAGGAATGCATTAAAAACACAAAGCTAAGGTAGCCCCAAATTCCCTTACCACTGCCCAGCTGGTCTCCCTCTCTCATGGCTCCCCATTCTTTCTTGCTGATTCATTCTCTTACTACTCCAAGGCAAGTAAAAATCAAGACTCTGAGGAATATGTGTGGTTTAGCCAACAACATGCAGTCAGTTCTCTCTATTAAATCCAATTCTTAATATTTAAATGCAAGATTCTGATTCTCCAGCCAAGATCAACAGTGCTCCATCTTGATCTAATCAGAATGGCCATAGGATTGGAGGCCAGATGCTGAAGCTGCTGGATAATGCAAGGGTGAAAGAGTCATAAAAACCATGTGAAGTAAGAGATAACAAGAAATTGGTAGACGGGGGCTGGAGAGACGGCTCGGTGGTTAAGAACATTGACTGTTCTTATAGAAGACCCAGGTTCGAATCCCAGAACCCAAATGGTAGCTAACAACCATCCAAAACTCCAGTTCCAGAGGATCTGACGTCCCCATCTGTCCTCTGCAGGCATTATATGACACAGGTGTACTTACACACAGCAGGCAATACATTCATACACATAAAATAAAAATAAATAAATCAAAATTTTTAAAAAATAAATTGATGTAAGGATTATATCAGGAGCTAAAATAAAAGTAGAGACATAAAAACTGTCAAAGGAAGCCCCTGTACTTGCTGGTTAACAGCACGTGAATGAGAAGTTTAACTTACAGACTTAATAACTGACTCCAAAGAAGATAGTGCTTCAGGTTTAGACTTACTAACTGTGAGGGAAGGTTGAGGCATCCAAAGGGCAGCTCAGAAGAGGTGTTAGACCTCTGATCACAGGCACTTAGAAGGCAGTTCTCCAAAGCACCACCCCCTGGTGTGCTGAGTGCTCAGAACTGAAGGAGGCTAGAAGATATTCGGAAGAAAGCCGCTTTCTGACCTTCCCCTTTTTCTTCCTCCCCAGATTTCTCCCCAGAGCTGACCTAGAAACTCTAACTCCTTGCTCCCAAGTTAAAAATAACAATTAGAAATAGTATACCACCCTTTCTCTATCTTTCTGTGTGACAGATGACCACAAAGAAATTTTAAGGCCTACCTTATCTGATGGTAGATTTCAGCGTCTTGTTCCAGAAGGGCCCATGCCAGGGGCGAATGGATCACTCCATAACTGTGAGGAGAACCCAAACTGATCAGCCTTTTTGACATTCCTCATTCTGTCTATAACTGTTAGATCATGTTCTTTTTGCTCACACACATCTCCACATACCTGCCATGCTTGATTGACACTCTAATCATGAAATTGGATTGTTCCCCATGAGTCTTCATTGTATAAGGCGCCTTGGCCACACAAAAAACTTGTTTGAAAATGTCTATTAAGGGGCTAGCAAGATGGTTCAGCTGGTAAGGGCACTTGTCCACTTGCTGTGCAAGCCTGATGACCTGAGCTTGATCCTGAGATCCCACAAGGTGGCAGAATAGAACCAACTTCTGAAAACTGTCCTCTGAGCCCCACATGCACACCAATGCATGTGCGTACCTGCGCATACACACACACACACACACACACACACACACAACTATCTAAAGTATTTGCTATATCTTTTCTTTTACCCTGTATGTGTTATAGAAATGTTGGTCATGACCTTCACAATAGAAAGAAAAGAATTCACCTCCTCTGTCCCTACAAAACCAAGGCACGGGAGGAAGAAACATAGGCAGAAAGTGGTTATGTAGTCTTTCGCATGAATCAGAGAGCTATTTATAAATTAGTAATAGCTCACACCTGCTCCATGTGGTATAGAAACAGCAGGTCTGGGAACATAAAGTCAAATTAATGAAGGTACCAAACCAGGTGTCTTTGGAAATGTCCTACCAGAGCATACCATCTACCAGAAGTTTTTACTATGGCTTGCCAAAGCCCTTATACTAAGGATTTTGCCTGTGGCCATATACTGGACTGACTTTCATGCCGTTATTTCAATGTTCCCAAACTGTACTAAAGGAAAGAGACGCTGCCCTGTCAATGCCAAAATCTGTCATTCCCATCCGCCCTTACCATTGGATTCCCCAATCCTTTCTTTAGCGACATCTTGATCTACCATAAAACCTATATCTTAAATGTAGTATTTCTTCCTTTTCTTCTCTCTTTGTGACAGCTATGTCACTTGCACTGCTATGTGTTACCCAGTTTGAGTCAAAGTCTCTTGCTTTCAAACAAAGATATAACAATAAAACAAATCAGAGAGACACAAACACAGCACTGTAGACAAAACTCCTCTCTGTCAACTGAAATTGGCCATTTGAAGTTTCCTACTGAAAATTCTTGCTGACTAAGAGTCATCAGGAGTAATTTGCTTGCTTCCAGTGACTGAGCACATCAGGCCACACTAAAAATATGAGCGTGACACATTCAAGTATATTGACCACACTGATTTATTGTGTTCATGTTTGGCTCTCATCAGTTTCCTAAAGAAAATGAATTATGCTATTACAAGTTTATTTTAAGTAATGAGGAAACTGAGTCACTGAGGTTGAAGAAACTGTTTGTGTTCAACCACTAGAAAGTGAGTAAATCTGCATTATTTCCAGACCTTAATAGAACACTGATAACCACATGTTAATCATTACGGAACTGCTTTAATATCAAGCAGTAGAATATCTTTTCCAAAAATAACTTTGCAGGGTTGGAGAGGTGGCTCAGCAGTTAAGAACATTGGTTGTTCTTGCAGAAGACCCAGGTTAGAATCCCAACAGTCATATGGCAGCTAACAACTGTCTGTAACTCCAGTCCCAGGGAATCTGACAGCCTCTTCTGACCTCCGCAGGCATTGCACGACATGGGTGCACTTACCTACATGCAGGCAATACACACACATAATTTTTTTTTTTTTTGGTCTTTTTGAGACAGGGTTTCCTGTAGCACCAGCTGTCCTGGAACTCACTATGTAGACCAGGCTGGCCTTGAACTCACCGAGATCCGCACATGTGTAGGCCTCAGTGTATGTACATGCAACATTTGTGTGCAGGTGCCTGCAGAGGTCAGAAGAGGGCATCATAATCCCATGAAACAGGAGTTACAAGCAGTGTGAATTGCCTGACGTGGATGCCGGGCACTGAACTTATATCCACTGAGTGAGCCACCTCTCCAGCCCCAAGAATGTTTTATTCAGTCACAATGAACAAATTGTTTTAACACAAGGAACACAATACTCGGCTTTGTTATGTTCTATGAAAACAGAACTGAATTTACCAAAATGTTTGCAAGCAGCATTTGTCTAAAATATCCCTAAATCTAATAAATGAGACAATGTAAAAGTATTCCCTTTAATTCCTCTTGATGGAGCTAACTGGTTACACTATTTTATAATGTGATCACCCTTTTTGTACTCAAAAGGCCTCCTAGTCAGTGTTTGATAAGCTCTTATTGACTTTTATTATTCTCTTTTGTTTTCAGCAAATTATCTTGTCAAAGACCTAATTGCTGAAATTCTGCATTTATGTGCAAACGACCAGCTTTCCCCCAAAGAGTATCTTCTAAGTCTGTGTGGTTCTGAAGAATTTTTGCAGTTGTAAGTATCTTATTAAAGTCCATTTTGATTGCTATGATTCATAAGTATTCAGCAAGATTTTGTTTTATTGTAAATAGACATTTTATAAGCATTATATTCTATTTGTAGACGGCGAGGATATATTGTGACTTGAATGTGAGACATCCCCAGTGGGCTTGTGTGTTTGAGTGCTTGGCACCCAGCTAGTGGCGCTGTCTTGAGACGTTTTGGAACTTCTAAGATGTGGTGCATAATTGAAGGACGTGAGCCACGAGGGGGCCGGCTTTTGAGGGATTTTTTTAGTTTCCCACAGCAAACCACTTATTTCAGTCCCTTAGAGACCAGTCTTGAAAATATAATACATCTAAGGATAGATAGATTGCTCTGAGGTAGAGCACTAAAGACTAAAAGTTCGAATAAAGCATTTTGCCATTTATAGTTTTCTTTTGTAATTCTACAAAAATATAAAGATGTGTAAAAATCTCATGAGAGTTAAAATGAATTTCTTTTGAGAGTTCCATGTTGCCATTCTAAATATCTTGTAAGCAAATTGCTAAGTCTCATGAAATACTTAACAGAAATTTCCACCTTCTAGTATGCAATGTTAATGTGAATGACTTTTGAGACAAATAATTTTACTTTTTTGTGTTGAATAATAATACTTTTTGAGCCTGCAAAATTTTTGTTACACTAGGCAACATATGCTTCTAACATTATATTCAATTAATTCAGGAAAAGCATTTTAATTCATTTAATCTTATTATGCCTGTGTGTTAAAACTGGTTTTTTGAATATGCAAGTCAAAATTCACACCTGAACTATGATGCCAAAACATAAGATACAAAGATTGTGAAACATTATCAAATATTTGCACTAAATTTTGGCAGTAGAAAGTATAATCCAGGAATCTGTAGCAATAAAGAAATAGAAAATTGAGAATGTGTAATGAGGAGATGTTATTTGCAAGGGACATCAAGAACTCTTTCAGATAAATAGAGCATTCACATATAACTCAATTGTTTACTGGTGAAAATTCTGTACAGAATACCTTACACTTTCTCTTGTTAATATGAAATCTATTATGAACAACAAAGTGGAAGTCTTTCAATGTTTTCATAGTAATTTCATTGCATTAAAACTTTAGTTAATTAGGTTTGGCTAACAAGGAAGTTACCAAGTATTAGTATAAGTTAGTTACCTTCATTAACTGGCTAAAAGGAAAAAAAAAAAATATTACTATTCTTTCTAATATCTAAAGAAACATACGTAAGGCATCCAGGTTTCCAGTTTATTACTATTTAATTTGTCCATAAAATATGCCCTCAAAACTATAGAAATCCGTTTATAAAATCTTCCATAAGGAGATGAGGAGGTGGGTCAGTGGGTGAAATATTCACTGTCCAAACTTCAGTTTAGATCCCTAGTGCCTATGCAAAGCCTGTTACTCCAAAACGGAGGGCAAAATAAGGGGCTCTTGGGGGATCAGTGGCCATCAGTTGAGCTGAAAGGTGAGCTCCAGGGCCAATGAAAGATCCTGTTTCAAAAAGTAATGTGGAGAGTGATTAAGGACAACATCTAGCCTTTACCTCAGGCACTCATGCCTGTCAGCATGGGTGATCACACATGCATCTACATGTACACATACATAAAGGTATGAAATAAAATTTCCTATAGAGGGAACACATGTAGTAAGTTGATTATGCAGTAATTTGTTCTTTAGACTTTTATACTTAACTGATGTTCATCTGGAATGTTAGCAAAGGCTGCAGTGATAACAACAGCAACTATCACTTATTAAGTACTAACCTCAAGTTGGGTGGACATTTAAATCTCGTAACATGTATTTGAGATAGTTACTATATTACTCCCTGCTTTTCAGGTGGAAATACTTGGGCTTTCTCCAAGGTCATAGGAAATCATAATAAAGTCTACATTCAAAGTTTGCATTAGCTTGACCTTCACTACAAAACAGCACTGCAAAAGCACTTGATTGAGATACAGGAAAGAGACAATGGTTCTTTATGCTGCAGTGTTGGGGGGAAATACAGCCAGTTTTGTAGGGGTTGGTGAGGGTAGAGGCACAGGGATCACAATCATGCTTTCCAACACTACTGAGAGTGACACAGGTGTAAATTTAGGCCAGTGAATGAAAATACACAGATGGCTCCTGTACAATCTTCTGACATCTTCTGGGCTGAGTGTGAGCATCATCTCACCAACACTATACACCAACTGCCTGTAGATCAGAGGACAGAGAAGACAGAGGATAGACTAAGAAGTGTCACTGTGTAGTGGAAAAAAATCTTAACAGACAGAATATATAAAATGCACTTAGGATTTATTTTTACACGATATCAACAGACATAAAGCAGGATCAAGAATGTGAACAGCAATTCAAATAGACCAGAATATTGAAAGAGTTTGACTTAATGAATAACAAACATGAAATTAAAACAAGAAAACATCATGCATTTCCTAACAAATTGTTAGAATGCTCATGATGAAATATAGTAAGAAAACAGACATTAACTAGGCAGCTGCTGGGATAGAAATGGATGCAGAGGGAACTGAGGGGAATTTTATCAAAAATGCATCAAAAGCCTTTATAACGTCTATAATCTGTTTCAACAATTGTGCTTCTATAGCTACTGCTGTTGTTGTTTAGGCCAAATCTCATGTATTGCAGGCTCCCCTCAAACTTGCTATGTAGCAGGGGATTTCCTTTAACTTCTGATCCTCCGACTGACACTTCCCAAACACTAGGACCTAGACATGCCCACCATGCCTACTTTATGAGGTACTGAAGACTATACCCAGGGTTTCATACATATCAGGCAAGCACTGTACCAACAGAGCTATATCCCAACCCCTTTTTCCCCCCAACTCTTTCTAAGGAAAACTTATACCAAAACAATTACATATAATTATATTTGGTATAGCCTGGCATTACATGGTTTTAAAAACAAATCTGGATTACCAATACTACTCCAAAATAGAAGAAACATAGATCATGAAATATAACTTAATGAAAGTAAGTAATTGATGCATACATGTTTTTAAAGCTATAATATCATATGTCTTGATATAAAAAATTTGTTAAGATAAAGACATAAATTTTCAAAGCATGTTTTAAGATGTTTTGAATTTTTTTGAAAAATTACATTTTTACCTTAAAAAACATGAAATCTTATGTTAGATTACCTACACATTGAAAAAAACTACAATACATATGATATTTACTAATTTTTATTTGTTTCTATAACTTTTATCAAGAAATTAAGAAAGAATTGATTTTTGCTGAGGAAAAAGCCCTTAAATGGCAATATGGCTCATAATGCATGTTTTAAAAGCCCTAGAGCCCAGAACAGTGGTGCTTTTCCATCACCTCAGTACTCAGGAAGCTAAAGCATGAAGATCATGAGTTCTAAGGAAGTCTGAACTACATAGCAAGACCCTGTCATACACAAACAAAAAGCATTAAAAAGAATTAGGAGTGCTGGAGAGATTGGCTATGAGCACACAGCACTTGCAGAGGACTTCAGTTCCTAACACCCACTTCCAGCTGCTCACAACTGCCTATAATTCCAGCTCTTGGGATCAGATGCCCTCTTCTGGTCTCCATGTGCATTTGAGTTCATGTGCACAAACACACATACAGACATCACACACACACACACACACACACACACACACACACACATACATACATATACACAGAGACACACAGAGTAAAGAATAAAACAAAATATTTTAAAAGGAATTAATAGACTACTGTTATTGAACATATGAAAGACTGATAGGGCCAGAAACAAAGGAACTGCCAGGGACCACACAGGAAGTGTGACGTTCACAAGGCACTGAAGAGGTGGGATTTACAGAACTTGGTGACTGACAGTGTGATACTGTGAAATGCAGGCACAGAAAATGATGCCCAGGTTCCATGGTGACTTGGTGACAGCACAGCTATGGGGGAAACAGAAGTTTAGAGGATGCAAAGTGATCAATCAATTTGGAGACATGTTGAGTGTTTCAATGTTGAATGTATCCAGTATGTAGAAAATGGATCTGATTTTAGGAAAACAAGAATAAGCTGGGGAGTCATTTTTAATTCATAATATTTGACTAATAAAACAGTGCCTATATTTGTCATGTGTAACATGCTGTTTTGAAAAGCACATGTTGCTGAATGTCTACATCAGTCTGGGATATTGCCTCTCATACTTACGATCTGTTGCCTTATGAGAACCATTGATTTTTAAGAAGTGAAATCACATAGAAAAGTGACAAAAGACCGTGAGGTCATTGAGAGCAAGAAGAAGGGGAAAGAAAAAAGGAAACAGAAAAAAGCCACTCACATGGTAGAACAGCCTGGAAAACGCAATGAAAGAGAAAGTTTAAAATGACATCAAGTGAAGGAAATAAATATTAGATGAAAATGGAAAGATCGCATTAAGTTTGTTGATCTGGAAGCTACTGTTGGCAGAAGAAGCAGTACGGTGAGTAAGTGCTCAGAGAAAAGCAAGATTGCACTGAGCTCCTAAGAAGGTAGGGTAAGAAGGGGGAATGTGTGTGCAGAGCGCTGCCCCAGAAACAAGGTGAAGGGAAAAAGCCAGGAACAGGGGGCTTAGATGCTAAAAGGAATTTGGAGATTTGGTGAACGTGTGTGTGTCTGTCTGTGTGTGTGTACATATATATATATATATGTATATATATTTGAAATATATTTTGCATATACATATTTGAAATAAATACTTGAATATATTTTTAAATGCACATATGCTGAAAATAAAGGGCAAAAGCAAAGGAAAGATTAAAGGCAAAAGAGACATTGTGCATCAAATGGCAGGAGGAGACTATAGGTGGGATGCAAAAGACAGAGGAGGATGGTAGAAGCTTTCAGAAGGGAAATTTGCCTGCCCAGTAAGAAAGATTAGTAGTTCTAACAAATGAACAGAAGGAATTATATGCAGTTTAACATTCATAAGAATAAGTATGCTTTTGGAAAACAGGAACTTTACGAA